TTTGTCTCCAGCCATGTGACTTGACTTAGGCAGTGCGTTTGTTGTTGACAGGTGATGCTCACGAAACAGGTGGGAGTCAGCCGAAGCGACATTGTTGGGATTCCCGTTAGTAAATCTGAGCTGACCGAAGCCAGGTAGCAACACGTGGACTGGTTCTCAGTGTGGGCACGCACAGATGTACGATGGAGTTCCATGGAGCGCGACCAGGGGCATAATCGAGTATGACATCTATAGATACATATTATTATACATGTATTGTGCATACATATGTATGGTTGTATGCAGTTGCATATTATAAACTATTGTATTGTATATATATTGTATGTATGCATGCACGGTGTTCCACGCAGCCAGCAGGACGCTTCAGAATCATTCGACCGCCGTCGAAGCTTGTCTTGCCAGACTGATATCCTTCTTAAGATTCCTGGGTCAAGCTGCCGACCCCCTGTTTGCGGATATTTAAACCAAAGAGCAGGATGCACGATTGTTTGTCAATATCAAACTCGGTGGGACTGCCCTTAGGTTCGCCTTCCACTGTTGCAGATGGATATGCACCTGCATGTGCCCTGGCGATATCGACTGCTAATCTTTGTGCTGAGTTAAGCATAGTTGGCCAAAGAAGGCTTCCGAGTGAATATTGGGGCCGAGAGTCTTTGCATGTATAGTGTTGGCATGCAGAAATATCAAGAAACACAGAGCAGGGATCTTTGATTCGAGAAAGCGGATGTTTGATGGATTCATCGAGAAATGACACGCCAGGACATTTTGCAGGGTGAACTTGCCATCGTAGCCACTGTGCAGTTTGCTCGACATTGCCGGGGACCGGTCATCAGAATGCTCAGCGCTTTGTTCATCACCCAACGCACGTATGATCTTGAACTGATTGAGGGCGACTTGGTGTATCGCTATGGTTGTTTCATTATGCCTTTCTGACCTTTGGTCTTGGCGTGTTCTGACTCAGCTGGATTGGGCACTTGGGTCGAATGGCTTGCTGAAACCGAAGAACTGATGCAGGGGGTAGGGAAGTACTTATGCTAGCTCCATTCGGGTTTTGCTTGGTTGAGGGTACCCTTTCAGGATGGGTTCAAAGGAAACCAAAGGAAACCAAAAGGAAACCAAAAGGAAACCACAGATTTGTGGGTTCCATGTTGAGACGGCCCATGTCTTGAGTTTTGAGAGTCAGTTCCATTGAGTTGAAGCACAAAGCTGAGCCTTGACATCAAAACTTCACAATGGAGTTCTGTCGGAGAGGGGACCCTCATATTGATTTAGGTGCCTGGTTTGTCATGATTTGGGGATACAACAGAAGATATACCCCGTCGTCATGCATTGCTTGCTGTTTGCTTTGTTTGCTTGCTTGTTTGTTTGTTTGATTGAATGATTGTTTGTTTGTTTGTTTGTGTTTATTTGCTGTGTGTATCTTTGTTTGTTTGTTTGTTGGTTTGTTGTGTGTCTCTTTGTTTGTTTGTTTTTTTGTTTGTTTGTGTTTATTCGCTGTCTGTTTGTTTGATTGTTTTTTTTTCCTTGTTTGTTTGTTGGTTTGTTTGGTGGTTTGTTTGTTTTGTTGGTTGTTTGTTTTGTTGGTTGTTTGTTTGTTTGTTGTTTGTTTGTGTTGTTGTTTGTTTGTTTGGTTTGGCCTGTTTTCGTTTTTTGTTTGTTCGTGCGCCGTTCGCTCGTTTGTTCGTTTGTTTGTTCCCCTTTTATTTCACTTTCTTCGGCTGCAGCATTATAGCATACACATGCACCATGGACCCTGGTTTTACTGCTTTTTGGGATGGCAAATCTAGAATCTCAAAATGTATATTCTCGAAATGTCCAATTGTGGGTCCCCGAAGCCTGATTTGGAGCCCGGAGTTCTCCACAATGTCCCAATATGATACGCGTTCCAAATATAATTTTGCTTCAACTACAATTGGAATTTGGAATATAGTTTAGTAAGGATATAGTTTTCAACCATGTGTTTATGTTCAATCACGGCTTAGACAGCAAATCCTTTCCAAATAGGGGCTACATGAAAATGTGAATATAGTTTCGGCTAAACTCCAACTAACAATAGAAGTTAGATAGGAGTTGCTTCTCAACTACAATCTAAGTGTTAAATATGATCTAATACGAACACATTTCAATAAGCTTTTGATAATAACAATTAGATAGAGACTACTTCTCAAGTATAATTCATATTAAATATGGCTAAACATTTAAGGGACTTCTACAAGGAAATTCAAAATATGTTTTGTGTTATTTATATTCTGGTCCTTTTGTAGCATAAGAAAGGTCCGACATTGAACTTGTTAGACGGTCCAAAGGGAAACTTCAAGGGAAGAGAGGTTCAAATTCTAAGACTATCTCGAAACATGGATTCTAGCTAAATCAGTTGTATTTAAAGTTCTATTTGCACAGGAATCAAAATTCACTATATCTCAAAAGGTGGAGGTAGTAGATGAGCAAATGGACAGGTAGTTCAAGAGGGGGGGGTGACGGTGTGTGAATGTACATACATATGTACATCTATATATGCACATACATACACATACATATAGTACCCCGAATGATCCTGGGCCCCTTTACAAAATACTAGAAAATACATGTTTTTTGAGAATTACACCTACCTTAATTTACCTCCTGGAAAAGGGTCAACATGAGCATAGCTGACATGAAGCTCACCAAAGCACTTGAAAGCTTGTCTAACCAACAACTTGAAGGTGTTTCCACTGGATCGCTAAGCACTTGAAAGTATTTTACCGCTGGATGGAAGATTCAAGATGGAAGATTACTCAGAACATTTTCCTGAAAATTGTCAATCCTGGACAAACCCAAACGACATTCAATTCAAGTTCTTCTAACATGAAGCAGCTATTGAGGAGTGCAGAAGCAACTTTCCCGAGAACCATCCATCCTGGTCAATCCCTGAAAATGTTCAAGTTGTTTCAACACCTCGAACGTATTTTACCACTGGATTGAAGATTCGAGATTGAAATATTTCACGGAAAACTCTTCCGAGAATCACTGGAAAATACAGGTCAAAGCAGTAAAACCAGGGTCCATGGGCGGGGGTACCATATATATATAGTGCATTTATATGTATTGTATTCCGCACATGCCAGACATATACAGCTCATATGTATGTAATATATATATATATATATATCTTTGTCTACATGGTGCAGCGTCCCCAAACCCCCCCCTTCCCCCGTCCCCTCCCCAACCATGGTCATAGGCATAGGTCATACTGTGGTCTAGCGGTTCTGTGGATGGGATTTTGTGCAGGGCTGGTTTGGGATGGGTCTAGGGTGGGTTTTGGGTTGATGCAGCTTGCACGTGAGTTTAGGGTTCCTTCTGCTCAAGATAGGATTGATTCAGGCTTGGGGTTGGTTGAGGTTGCGTAGTGGTTTCGGGATGCTTGGGGGAAAATACCTTGGGGGTGGGAACACGGTACCATATGTATATATATATATAGGTATATAGATATAGGTATCTGTTATACACATTACCCCCTAGCGTACCCGCCTTTGAGGTCAATCTATCTCCGTAATGCCTCAAACAATGCCTTAGACAAGTGGACAAAGCGATTGAGTCCAAAGATCTCCGATTGGGGGACCTGGATGCGGATGCTAGGTGGATTTCCGGAACCGGCGCGCGGACTTCTGTACCCCGAACTTTGCCCCCATCATGCTGGACACGAACTGGCACTGGTCTATGCGCCCCGCATGCCATCCGATCAATATATTTGGTTAAATACCAGGTAGTAAGGTATTCAGGTATTTAAGGTCTATGCCATCCGATATCTTTTTAGATTCTTAAAAAAATAAACTCTCACATCTGTCCGTTCCAGCACTTCCAAATGAGCAGCTTGCACAGCCAACACTTGGAGCTGTTTTAAACGACTAGTACTGCTTTTAGAGTCCCATGAGTTTTGCCTTCCTTTCTGCTGAAGGCTCATGCCTGTTGCGGCCTCGGACTCCGCCAACAAAGTGCACGAAGTTCTTGTGATCACTTGGCCACACCAGGTCAATGCATCTGTCAGTCAGGCGTTTGGGCTTTGACAAAGTTCTTTATAGCAGTTCACTTGCAGTCACTTGGGGGACGAGGCAAATGCGCGCTTGGGGAATATGACTGCCTACCAAGAAAATGGTTCCCCTACTAAAGTAGACTACAGAAAAAAAGAGTCGGGTAGCCTTATTCTAAGCTCTCTACTGGAGGATGTAGCTACAACTTGTCGGTTTCGACCAGTCACCTTGCAAGTGGTGACTTCGAGAGTGGGAGGTACACCTGGCTGCCCTTCGAGCTACGCCGCTCCATCTGTTTTGGCGCACGCGTCCACCCTCCGGGGGTCAGCCTCCAAGTGACCAGATGCGGCTTGGCAGGCGATTCTGCTTGACTCCCTTTTGCTGGCGACTTTGACCGCTCACAACTCAACCATCCAAGAAAGGATGTACCGGGCATCTGAGCATATTGTCCGATTCAACTTTGCAGCCAACTGATTTAGCTATGTTCCGGAACTGTTTTCTCTAGGGGTGCACTTCGGCGATGCCGCGCCTAGATCTTCCTCATGAGGACCTAATGTCAATGCAGGATAGTCGCAATTGGATGCATATGCAAAACTTTACCTACCTGGCAGGCTTGCAGAAAAGGGTACATAGGGTCATCACTTAAGCCACAATCAAAACCCGGGTAGATAAAGGTTAGTAAGGGAGAATCCCAACCATAAATAGCTGCGGCCGCCTTCTTAGTTAAATTTTGATACCGGGTTTTGATTATGACTCACTTGAAGGACTGCCGGCTTCAACTGTTGGTGATTGCTTCCGTATGGCGCTGCACGCCCGTGCACACACACAGCACACGCACTGACCAATCCTTGAGTCCAAATCCCATTAGCGGACGGACATTGGGGGCTTTGGGAGTAAAACCAGGGCAGTGAATGCAGGGAGTGTTTGGATGATTGGGGGCCGGACCCAACAGCAACTTGCTGAATCAGCGTCAACCTGGGATTGCTCAGGAGTACCACACTAACCACAGAAGACTTCTTTTAATGAGTAATGTTCGCACAAGAAGGGAACACCCCTGATTGGTACGGTCCTCCGGCTCATTCCAAGTTTGACCATGTTTTTTCCCTCCTTTCCGCTGTCATATTTGTCCTTTAGCGTTTATGTGTCCAGGGCCCTTTGTGTGTTTCGGGATGTCAGGGCTGCACTCAGGCGCTCACGACGGCTTGGGAGTCGTGAAGAAGCAGACCCACTCCATCGAGTGGTCTATCACAGGCGCACCTAAGTCACTCCCGAGATTCAGGGGATGTTTTCCTGAAGCTTCATGCAACGCTTCACACTCCGTACACTTACATTCAAACTCCGAAGGTGTTGTGAATATTCCCTTTGCATTTGCCTGATATATTTTGCGGGCTCTCTGTGGCTGCCAGCGAATGCCACCGAGGGTTGAAATCGCGTTTCTCAGGTGAGTTGTCTGTGCTTTTTGTGGTTAGCCGCATCTCACAGCCGAGTACAAGAGCCAGAGGCCTGCTCAGTTGGGTTTGGTTAATGTCTAGCGTCCCGGTTTGCCTGCGATCTCGCGGTCGCGACACACCAGAGATCCTAGTAAAGCATACCGGCACATGTGTACGAGAGAGGGATTCCATGAGCACACTCAGATTGTCTGACGCTGTGAACAGCATCTAATCACCTTACTTGGCTCTGTCGTAAGACCTTATAAGCTCGCCAGCTGCCAATGCCAGCTTGACCTCTGTCAAAAATTGTTCTTTCGTGGGCTGTCGCCAGGACACCTAAGTCCTCGAGTGAGATAGGTAAGGAATTTGACATGCATTTGCACTGTCAAGTGAGGGATTGTGAAAGCTTGCTTTTTTTTGTTCTCAGCACAATGCTGATAACACGAGGTGTTTCTCAGCCGCTGCAAAACATATTGGTGGGCGTTACGATTGTTTGGTGTCCATCGAGGATGTGGAAGTGCAAATTGTCGTACACAGTTGTTCTTCTTGCGGACTTCTTGATTGTGCTTTTTGCGTGTGATGTTATGTTTGTTGGATGCTAACAGACTTGCAAAGGAGTGTAGACTTGGGCCCGGCAGGCGTGGCTTACCTTGTCAGTCACTACAACACCTGGGGCACGGGCGACGGCGACATGACGCAGTCCTGGTTTGGCGGAAGTCACTTGGCCAGCAACGGCTAGGTGAGTGCCGTTCACCCCTGAAGGTCGTGAATGTAGCATGAGCATTGCTTGACAGTATTGAAGTATGGACATGGAACGCTCCATTGTACAAGGAATCGTGCAAGTGTAGCTTGGAGAGTGCTGTCTGTTAATCTCACAGGTATTCAAGAATCATGCCAGCCGCGCGGCTTGTCATAGCAGCGTGAGCGTGCAAGGCATTTGACAGGTTCTCTTGGCTGCCAGTGGCTTTGTGAGGTGAGAGCAGATAGGGAGTGTGCGCAGGCGTTCTCAGACGGTGCAAAAGCAGAGTCCCGAGTTGTTGGGATCAGGACCATATCTTTTGAGTCTCACTTCTTCTTTTTGTGCAAGTAGCGGGTAAGGATTGCTAGAGCTGCAGTCGCGTGAATGAGCAACTCGCATCACACGAATGTGGAGGAACCTTGTTTGAAGTCATGGATATTGAGATCTTTAGTCCCTTTCTTGACCTCGATGCAAGAGGCAGGGGCGGCAACCGATGGAACAAATCTGTTTGTTTGTCAGGTTCCTCACACGAAGCACGCAGCTGGAACTTCTTGAAACTCACGGACAGCATTCCCAAAACGACTCCAAGCTGTTGGACGCCTTGCTGGCAATGTAGGAAGGGCGAGCAGGTGAGAAACTGGCTAGGCATCTCATATACAGGGTTGCTCGAAAGGTCCTTTACATGGGGTTAGGGAAACCACCAAAACTGATGACTTTTACCACTAGATGGGAAAAATACCCATGGTCATGTTGGGGCCATGAATATTGATCAACCCCCATATCACAATCACAGTTTCAATCTGCTTACATGACCAAAGGAGAGAGCCTTGTTTAGGGCAAGCCCTAGAAGGCAGGCATCATACTCCGAACTTAGGAATACCATTTGTCACAACCTCACATTCTGACTCACAAAACGCCGCCCAGCCTGACAAAGACAGATGATGTCCGGCAAGCGGGTGAATCAACATGCTGACGTTGCTATTGGCATCTCCGAAGGTCTGGTGGCATTCGCATATCCGACCCGCATGCCTAAGGCCAGAACTGGGGTTCCAAGGCGTGGACCGGATTTGCACTGGGAATCTCCGAAACACCCAACTGTCCACGCTGCAAGGCGGCAAGCAACCTGTTCAAGGCCTAACCTCGAGCTGATTGCTGATCTTGGCATGCAACTTTGAATTTGATGATTTGCCATCTACAATGGTGACAACGCCTAGCCATTGTTGAGCCCATTACCCCCGCCGACACGGAATCAACACATACAACAGTGACCTTTGAATGCAACTACATGGTGCTCAACATGGACCGACGGCAAGCACTGATCAGACTGATCACACGGACGCTTGTGAGGCCCCCCCCCACACAGCTGGTTTTGGTGACGTGCATTGTATACATATTGGCTATACATGTTAATGTGTATACAGAAAACACATATGTTATACAATATAGAGAGAGAGAGAGAGAGCAAGAGGGATGTATTTGTGATGATAAATATGTGCATAATTGCCGAAAAAGGAAAAACGTTGAACTTCCAAATTTCAAGGTTTGAGGGTCGTATCCTTTACAGCCGGACCACTCCAACATGAGCCTATTGGACGTTTTAGTCCCACTCATGCACTACATAAGGGGTGTGTATGTTGCAGATTTGAACACTATCTGTATTCTCGCACATTTGCAAGCATGATGAGTGGCCCAACCGGTATTTTGGCAATCCCCCACATGTGCCACCCCCTTTTCTCGCGATACTTCGTGTGATGTTGTTATGCACATGTTGGCTCGCATGGCCTGACGTCTTGTTCATAGCTCAAAGCCAGCATAACGGACTTGGGGCATCGAATACATACTATATATATTATATACACATGTATTATAGCATTGCTTGTGTCCGACTGGTTGGGGTGTTGACCCGCATGTGTTTGCTTTGGTGTCCAATATATTATAGACGCAATCCTGAATTCCACCATCAGCTTTCTGGGTGACTGAACTTGGATATAAATGGCATCATCTTTCAGCCGTGCATTCTGGACATCTTCTCACTGGACAGATTTCCGTGCATTTTTTCGTGGAAGGTTTCGCGGAAGGTTTGATACATTGCAAATGTTCAGGGAAGAAAACAAAAACACCACTCAGATGTTGTGGTTGGGTCTCACGAGTGAGTGGTGGTTTTAGATTTATCACTGGTTTTATCTCCATACACTCATTCAAAAATAAGAGTCCAACCCGGCGGGAGAGGCCGGTGGCGGGTTTCTCGGCTCCGGGCGGTTCGTAGGCGGCCTCCGCGGGTTGGCCCAACTTCCTGGTGGCGGACCCGGGGACCTGGGCCAGCAGCTCCTCCGGCTCTGGCGCCCCGACCCATCGGCCGAAAGCGGCGGCTGTCGGCGGGTTGGCCAAACACCCGTGGAAAAGCAGAGATCTGTCCGTACGAATTACGATTGCGCATTCCTTTCATAAATTTAAGGGAATCCCTGATTCATGCATAGAACACGTCAAGCGACTCCCTACTGACAATCGCAACTATAGGAAGGAAAGTCAATATAGACAAATAACTACAAACGCGATGCAAAGCGACGCTTCGAGAAGGAGAAACACTAGGAAGCTCAAAGCAGAAACAACCAGACAACTTATAAAGCACGTTGCGGCATTGCGCTGTGATGTGTTCACCGGAACCACGACACAAACTCACATTGCACAGTAAGCATTTGAATAGATGCGATCTTGCATGGCGCTTTGCAGATATTGCCAGCGTATCAACCTAGGGGTTGCGGACATAGACATCATAGACCAGAAGTGATTGGATGACGCTTCCTTGGTCAGAGGGTTTGCAAAGAAACAACAACCATGTTCATTTGTCCATTTTTCCCCAGTTGCTCAGTGGAGCCCTTTTTGTCCTTTGTTTGGTAGGGGTTCCCGTAAAAACTGAACCAACCAAAAAAGGACGCCTTTTTTTCCCGCCATTTGTCCATCTGAGCTTAGGTCTTTTCCATTGTCCATGTTTGCCATTTGTGCATTGTTTCAGGTTTCAGCAACCATTTTTGCTGCCGGTCTTTGCCCTTTTTTTCTGCGGCTTTTTGCTGCAGGCTACTTGTCGACGCCCAATATGATGAGCTCCCCGGGGGCCTTTTGGCTCAGCTTGATCGCGGAAGTCTTCTCGGCCATGTCCCTCACAGAGGCTGCAACGGGTCACGGACGTCACGTAAAATCTGCGCATAGTTTAACCCTGGTGGATCCCCTTAGCTTTTTAGCCTTTTAGTGTTTCGTGCTAGTTTCCGTTCAAGCCACTAAAAGCTAAACTTTTAGCGGGGGATCTGAGGGCAGCCCAGGTTTGTTTGAGTGTGCCCAGTGAAGGTAATATACCCTCCCTCCAACAATCATGAAAGCTGCCAGGAGGGTTTTGGAGGACTACTTTGCGATTGTTGGAAAGAGGGTAGATTGGAAACTGTTTGTGACACAGCAGTTCGATCCAACGTGTTACACTTAGGGAGATGCAGCTTGCCTTTATCGTAGGGGCGTTTTTAGGGCATGGAATGCGGCCAAAGTTTCTGAGACGTCAACATGAGCCAAATGTGACTGACCAGACGAGCAGTTTTCCCAGCAGAGAGCAGAAGCTTGCGAATTGCGAGCGACGAGGGTGCGCACGCCGGAGGCTCCTGGTGTGCTCCATGGCTCCGTGCATGACGAGCATTGTGGGGATTCTCGTTGGCTTGCAAGTCTTGTTGGCAGAAACACATTTGGCACATGCCTCAATGATGTTGCAGTCTTTTCTAAATGGTTGCAAGGATGCGGTTTGGTTGTTGGGTCGCCCAATGTCCAGCTGTTCGGCAGCTGTTTTGCTGAAGAGACCAGCAGGTCACCAACGATGCCAACACCACTATCACCAAAGCCAGCATCAAGGCTTGCATGGTTGCGGCTGTGCCTTGGCGCACGTGCGGAAGAAAGTCACAGCTGTTTGGGGAAGCTTAGCAGTCGGACGTTCCCCGAGAGCTCTATGGCTTTTACCGGGACGTGATTGTCAGCACCATTCATCAGCACTGTTTGCAATGTTGTACTCGGTCAGAGGACAGATGGAGATCGCGCACGCATTTTGTGACACCTGCGTGACCGGCTACCAGCTTTAAGTTACTACATACAGTAAGCTCATGGTGGAAGACTACGCTGTACAGTTTGTGTGGGTTCCATGCATGTCAGCCGACACAGGAAGAAGCTGCTGGTCATTGGAAGATCCTCTGTTCAATGCGAGTGTTCAAGCATGTTGCCAATGCCAAGTCAATATTTTATTGATCCCTTGTCCTTTCTGGTGAAAGTGGACCTGCGATGATCTGATGTTAACAAATGCAGCCATACCTACTTGCCCAAGCTTGATACTGTATGATATGACACTCAGTTACAGTTATAGCTGTAATGACAGACAAAGACATCACACATTGACATTGACCGCGATGAATGGAAGGGCAAAGCAAATTTTCGTGGTCTTCCTGATTGAATTAAAGTTAATTCCGTCACTTGCCAGTTCCAGTGTGTGCAATGCCCATTCATGCACAGGACTGCTGCCTGCGAATTGGTGAGTAGAACCCATGTCGGTGTGTCTGTTTTCACGAAAGCTAGCTTTAGCTAGCTGAAGTTTCTCCTTGCGTAAGCAAGGTAAGGGGCTCAAATGCCGAAAGATTGATTTTTTCAATTATTTGAGCCGAAAAGATTGAAAAATATCAATTATTTAGACCCCCCCCCCCTCCCCCCCCCCCGGGTCTCAGGCTCGATTCCTCCCTGGTCCATCCCCCCCCCCCCGGGCAGTGGCTCAGTGTTCAGCAGTCTCGGTTTGCCCGTTTTGGACTTGGTGCTACGAACTTTTACATGTTCCACCGATTCAGCTTGTTCATTTGAGACCTCAGTCTTCTCGGTAAACCACCTCGCAAGAATCTTTGCACACGCTGCATGCAGAACCCAGAGGTGCTTTAAGACAGCTTCTGACGCCTCTCGTTGTTTTCATTTTTCAAGGTTTGCCACGCCACCATGTGCGTTTGCGTGTCGCATCCTACGAATCTTGCCGGGCCTCTCGTTGTACACAAGCTACCTATGAATCCACTCTGTCACCGACCCATCTCATGCAACAACTGCTAGCTTTCGTTCACCCGCTCCTCAAGTTAAGGGACCCCCCAAATGGTGGCTGTCCTTGCGGTTCCCTTTAAAACCACCCAAGGAGAGGGTTCCCTAAACAAGAGAAACCCATGTTCAAGTGTCACTTTCCAAACATGTTGCAACACATTTCATCACACAATTACATTTCCTGGCAAGATGTGACTTCCTGGGGCAAGATCAAAGAGTTTCCTTTGACCATCCTTGACCCATCCGGGGACCTTTCTGAAGGCCGCGAATCAGTGAATGCCTCTGGCGGCCTTCGTCTTCTTTCATGCCTTTCCGGGATCCCCGAAAAGCGGGTCGGGCCGTCGGGCTTTCCTATTTGTTCGAAGGAACATCCAAGGGGGAAACCACGCGAAGAGCCTGGCGTGACGATGCGTGACGCATTCGCTTGCCCATAGGTCACAGTTGGATGGAAGCTGCTGCAGCGCTACGCGGTGATCCCTAGCACCTGGGGCATCTTTGCCGCTCGGATCAACGGCACAAGCGTTGGGCCATCGTCGGTTGGCCCAAAACGAGATCAACAGGAAGTAAACGGTTGAGACCTTCGGCCAAAGGTGGTTTCCTCCGACGCTTACTCCAGTTCTGGCTGTTGAGAATGAAGTTGCTCGAACTTGACAGCTAGGTGAAGACTTGAGCGAAAGTTGTCGTAGTGTGGATGGAGCAACACCCCTAGCCACATCAAACGGAGAGGTGTTTCAATCATGGCACACATGAGCAACTCACAATATGACCTGCAGTTGTCGGCTGGTTTGGGAGCATATGGGGGCCAACCTAATCTTCCCGCAAGAGCCAGCTTGGTGTTGCTCAAAATTAAGAACCCCTTTGAGGTTTTCTTTCCTCTGGGTTTCCTCGTAAGCCTATGCCAAAGTGGGACCCCTGTTTGAGAAGCACCTCTGGCGAGCATATTCGCTTTCCTGTAAAGCGAGGGGTTGGCAACAGCACAGCCTTGGCGAAAGCCACACGGGGTCACCAATCGCCGTGCTCTGCTCTGACCTGTCAGTCCACGGTGGGCAGCGTGCTCTCCAGCATGGCAAAGATTGGCCTGAAGAATCTGCAGATCAGCCCCTTCCGCCTCTCGGGCCGGGTCCAGCCTGGGGGAAGGCGGTCGGGATTTTAGCCGGACTGTTCGGAGCCAAACGACTACGGGTGACTGGCAACCGGAGTGGCAACCGGAGTCTATTTGTCAAGGTTGCAATTTGCCCCATGAATACCCATTCCGACATGGATTCTTGCAGTCGCCCGCTCCAAGATGATGGACACCAAACCGGTTGCCTTGCAGTGCCATACTCAACCATCGTTTTATACCTGGTCACTCAACTCAAGGTTGGTTTTGGCATGCGACGTAATGACATGTGATCTGATAGGTTGCGGGTTGATGCTCCTAATACCTGAGGTAGGAAGCGCTCGAGATATTGTTCCGGCCCACTGCGCGGGGTTTGGTCGTGCCACCAAGGGAAGGTGTGCAGAATGCGATGAATGTTGATATGGTTTGGGCACATTGCAGGGGATGTGCGTGGGTTGATGTTACACTTCCGCTTCAACATAAATACATTCCAGCTGAGTAAGCTTGCTGGTGCTCAGGGAATGTGGAAATGAACCCAGGGATTCCCTTAAAGGAAGCCTGGTTTATCCAGTTCATTCCATGCATTCCCTGCCTAGCACACCAGCAAGTACATTTTCATACAGGGAACCGCCATATCCGGCTGGGTGTTGGCCACCTGCATCGGGAAGGGTCGGCGTTGTGTGACTTCAGAAGGAGCTAGAAGCTTTCCACCTGCAATTCGATCATTCAGATGACCCTGTCAATCCCCCAAGGGACCCGCGATCATTGTTTACTCAGTCTGTTTTGCATGTACTTGCATAATATTGTGATGAATGATGTGTATGTGTATATGTATAGTGCGCATGTAGTATCACATATATATATATATACACGTATATGTAGACATATGCGCCCCCCTCCTCTGATTTGTGTTGGTGTTGTGCGTGTTTGTGGCATGCTGCCTGCTGCAGTGCGATGTCCGTTTTGCCCCCTATGTGCATCACTGTGATTATCTTGGCCAGCCTTTTTACTTTCTACTTAAATCAGTACTATATTGTACTTAACGTCTGAGTTGGAAAGTCATTCCCATTTCATGCCTTATTTGGAAAACGGTTTGGAACAGCACTCCGACTTAAACTTCTTTTCGATTTGGATAATTGCTAGAATTTGCTCCTTGAAATCATGGTTTGAAGCAGGTTTCGATTCAAATTTAAATGTGCAATTGATATCAAGTTCTTTGTAAGTTCTATGTTAACTCTTATTAAATTCAATATGTTGCGCAAATGATTCCTATTCAAGTTCAAAATTGTTTGAACTTCTACGTGTACAAACCATGTTATATTCTTTGTATGTGTTACTCAAGTGCTTGTTAAACAAATCGATCTAAAGTCCGATTTGACAACATATTCCCGTTGAATGCCCTATCAAGTTCGAACAGGAATCCTTTGTTTGTTCTTCTTAACACGTATCCCAACTTGTTTTATAATGTGTAATTCAAAATACTTTTTGACATGGCCTAAAAACATCTTCAACTTTATGACACATATAAACCTTTATGACACATGCAACAGCTGCAACGAATGAACCTGTGAACAGAATGCACAGTGCAACTCACCTCGGTTTAATATATGTTTCAATTGCTTGCTCATAAATCCTTGAGACTCTCACGAAGCGAAACATATCTTACAATTAAATATACCTTATAATTCCTTCCAAGGAGAGGCTGACAGGACGTGGAGGGAGCAGTTCGAGTGATCTGCTGTTTCCCGTGACAGTAACAAAAAGGGAAGAGCCAGAAAACCGTTTGAACTCTTGTCAAACGGTTTAAACCCTTTTCCTAAAGATGTCCCCCCCCTCCTATGTTAGCCAGAGAGACGCTTCAGATGGTTTTTAACGCATAGGCTGAAGCCGTACAATGACTTAAAAGGTTCAAAACTTTCAGAGGGGATGATCATGGAGACAAAAATGGATACAGAGTGACAGACCGAGGGGCCAGATGACCTACACATTTTAGCGGGGTCAGCTTCTCATATGCAAATAGATAGTCACATTATAAGTATATATATATATATATATATATATTGGGGGTTGAACATACATATTTGTTCACGTGCAATGATGTGATGCAGAATGTGAGTGCCTTTGGTTGCTTGATGGATATGGGCCTTGGTTTCTTCCGGCCTTCACCAAGTACGCTGGAAGTCCCAGCGCCTCTTTCAGCCTGTGACGTCTCAAATTGAACACGCCCGTGTCAACCGAGCGCACCTAAATTTGTACGTCACGTCCTGCCCATGCTTACACTTGATGCTTCTCTTCCAAGCAACTATTCATGAACCGGGCGGAGTGTAGAGTATTTGTAGAGAACGGTACCAGGCAACAGGAAGCACATTTGCTTTGCCCTTCCTGAAACCTACTGCATGTCCCTTTCTGGCCTTCCAACTTGGCTGCTGCCAGATGGGTTTCATTTATACGGAGCATACCGTACATCGATACGAAAGGCACTCACATACTTTGCATTCAGAGTTGCATATGTGATGCATGGTGCCATACATGCTATTGTTTGTCAAGGGCCCCCAAGGGCCCATTAATCCCAATAGGGGCCAATAGCGATAAGCCCTATTTCGAGTAAATAGGGTGCCTTGTTTGGGGGAGTCCCCTCTTTTTCGGGGCCACTGACAACCATGGGAGTTTAATGAGCCCTGTTCATTTGGAATTCGTTAGGCGTTGGGCTGGATCCGGGCACCGGTCCTTAGTGCTTGCGTCACGGAACTCAGGCATGGAGCACGACGTGGTTCTGAGTGTGGACCTTAGCTGTTAGCTGTGGGCCCTAGAGCAAGCACGTCCTGGCAGTGTTGCAGTTTTGGGGTTGTTGGTTTTGGGGTTGTGGGTTGTTGGTTTGGTTTGGGTTTTTGGTTTGGTGCAGTTTTGGGGTGGTTGGTTCGGTGTTCTTTGAAGATTGGCCGCTGCATTTCGTGGACTGCACTTCACTTTGAAAGCTGCGATCCTTTGGCTAGTGCCAAAAGCCCCGCAGAACACTCAGGAAAGCAGGTTTCGGGGTGCTGCAAAAAGGCTTGTCAAGCGGTCACGAGTCCCAACAAGGCGATCTCCCACTTTTGGCCCTGATGCGGGTACTGCTTCCTTTTGACCTGCACCATTCAACGTGCCCCTATGCATGACAGAGCCCATCAGTTTGTTGCTAGTGAGTTGTCGCCGCGGATTTGTGACCATGGTTGCTGTCCCATGGCACGCAAGTCCTCTCGCCTTTCGCGCCAAGGTTTCAAATGGGCCAGGCAAAACACGAAGCGTAAGCTGAACCTGCCAATGTTGCTGCAAGACATGAGCATGGCTCCTTCTTGGCAAGGGGGCGGAAGGGCGGAAAGTGTTGGAAAGAGTTGGAAGGGTGGAAGGACGTTCGAATGCGCAGGCATTGGACCCAGAATCCTTCTAGCCGATTCAGTCACGCCAACTTGGCAGCCCTGGCGACATCGTGACGTGCTTCCAAGTTGGGGAATCCAGTCGAATACGACCAGGAGACGAAACGAGAGGGTGATGAAGGGAATGTTTGTTCCCAACGATTCTACTGCCCCCATGGGGGGATTTCATGTTATCCATTTTCAGTGATGTTGACACGGAATCCTACCGAGCCTGGTGCTTTCCAGTGACTCATGCAAGGCTTTTTTATGGGGCCGACCTCAGGTGCGAATGAAGTCACCTTTGTATCACTCAGAGGAGGCTTGACCTGTCGAATTGTTTCACAGTCCCGAGCTCTCGAGCCTTTTTGCCAGCAAATCCAATGCTCTCAGGATTGGTCACAGGAACTCTAAAAATTGGGAATCTGGTTCAGAATTCCAGGAAGCCAGCAGGAAGAGGCAGTTGCGCTTGTGCTTTCTTTGGGCCAATCCTTGTTCTGAGTCAGCCTGTAGCAGTTGACACCCTTGAAGGCCAGTGTTCCAGCTGCTCACCAGCCGCAGCAGAAAGAAACTCTCCATTAAGGCTTACCCGGTTTGGTCGGCCGACTTGTATTAGACTTCCATGCCAGTTTGTTGCACACATCTAAGATGACAAGATTCAGCAACATCGCAAGGCACAAATATGATGAGCTTCCCTGAAAAAGCAGTTTTCCACGGAAAGGAGGGGCAAACACAAACTTAGGAAGACCCAGGGATATAAGTTGTGTGCTTTATCGGACGCATCAAATGATGGCGATGGTGATGATGTGGTCGTAGCGGTTCAGGCCTTGCTGTTGGGAATTTATCCTGTCAAGCTCCTAACGGTAAAAGGGAGCTGAACATCCCCTTCTCCCATACAATCTTGGATATCTCTCGGGCACATGCTCAGGAACAGCTCCGGAAGGTCTTCGCGGAAGCGCGGAAATACGGCACACAGGCCGACCTCCGCATGGACAGCTTGCCCCGACCGACTGAGCGACACACGAACCGACGCTGGAATTGTGCACATGGGGAAGAGTGCAATGCACAAAAGACGCTGGCAAAACACAGAGAAGATTTGGGTGTGGGTCAAAAATAGGTACCCAAAACGGAGCCCTGGAAAAGGAAACAGGCGGGCGCTAGAGCCTGCGGTCCGATTCCTGGTGGTATAATTTTGACCCATACCCATTTGGCTAAGTTGGAAAGTTCGTTGACTGCCACATTCTGCTGCTTGGATGATTTATGTCTTCTTCGGGCAGCTCTCAGTGGCTGGCCATGAGCACATCTTGATGCATGCTTCCAAGGAGGTTGTTCTGTGCAGGCTTCCATTGCCTCACGCTTTGCAACATTGTACACAAACCACGCAGTAGGCGTGCATTCTCTTGCGCCTTGCTAGGCACAGTTTCAGGACATTGCTGCATGATACATATGACAAGAAGACTGTGCTTGGCTCACGCCTGGGACACCTCCAACTAGGAACCCCCCCGCATGGGTTTAAGTGCAACGAAGTGATCTCTTCACCTGCATGTAGATGACTTGACTTCTAAGGCGTCCGCATAGCCCCTGCCCTTTTCGTTCCCTCACTAAAAGCTGCTGCGAACCCACAGAATGAAATGGTATTGGCGCACAGCTGGTGAAATTACACCCAGTGCACCACAATGCTAGGGCGTAGTATCCACATATCCGTGTTTTGCAAGTATAGCTCTATATTATATACATACATATCTAAATGTAGGCACATTTGAGTAGCAGTTTTGTTCAAACGGAGCCAAAAGGAGAGGGGCACTGCAATGGCGGCCGAAAAGAAAACCGCGTAGCCCTAGGTATGTGCTTCCAGTGTGTACCCCACACAAGAAAATAACACACGGCTCATTTGCGTTTGCACTGGTACTTGCATGACGCAGCCAGTCGTGATTTCGAGAGGGCATGCCCGCCTGCCCTTTTGCCTGCTTCATCAAATGAATGCAGCCTCATTTTGTTTGGACTTTGCATTGTCTAGAAATCGAAGCATTCCAGAGCTGCAAGCTGTGTGTTGTTGGTCTCGGTGTATTCCTTGCTCGCTGGCACAGAAGGCAAGATTTTGTGCAGGTAAGCGTAGAGCTTGCAGCAAGCAGGGGCATGAACCAACGCAAGGCAGTATCGCAGCTGGGAGCGGATACATGCGGGTACTCCCTCTAAGCAACCTCCAGGATATGACTCCATATTTGTGCTGTTTCGATGTCATCCACTTGACTTAGGTGTGGTGACTCAATCCTTTTCTGCAGCGGCCACAGATTCCCTCAACCTGAGGATAAACCAGATAATGTTGGACTCTGTTTAGTGTGACCCCCCCCCCCCCTGGAACAGTGGAACCAGTCGGCGGGACTCTCTTTAGGGAGATCCTGGGGGATCTGGGAGGGACAGTACTTACTTTAGTATTGCCAATTCTACTTTAGTATTGCCAAGGCCCCCTCTCAGATTCCCAGTACTGACTTTAGTATTGCCAATTCTACTTTAGTATTGCTAAGGCCCCCTCTCAGATTCCCAGTACTGACTTTAGTATTGCCAATTCTACTTTAGTATTGCCAAGGCCCCCTCTCAGATCCCTAGTACTTACTTTAGTATTGCCAATTCTACTTTAGTATTGCCAAGGCTGACTCTCAGATCCCCAGTACTTACTTAAGTATTGCCAATTCTACTTTAGTATTGCCAAGGGTCGTTTTTTCAGCAACCCCCGAAACCAGTTGGACACTAAAGAGGACCCCAAGACAGTCGCATTAAAGAGGATCTGGGCCTCTTGTGGGCACCCCCCTTTGTGTGACTGTTTGCCCGCACTTTTTTGTAAAGAAGTTATCTTAAATTTGATGGTTTGGGAACAACTTGCAAAATCGATTTCCTAGATCTCAGGCCTTTAACCTTTGAGCTGGGGAGAGCTTAGGATGAGTCCCCTTCTTTAAAAGTAAAAGGCTGAGGCTTTGGTTTTCAGTTTTCAGCAACCCCGAAAGCACTGGACACTAAAGAGGACCCCAATACAATCGCATTAAAGAGGATCTGGGCCTCTTGTGGGCACCCCCCTTTGTGTGACTGTTTGCCCGCACTTTTTTGTAAAGAAGTTATCTTAAATTTGATGGCTTGGGGACCACTTCAAGAAAACAAATTCCCAATTCTAGCTAGCTCAGAACCAGCCTCCAGCTCAACAGGAGCTACCAAGGCTTAGCAAGTTTAGCCTCAGCCCGAGCAAATCCAGAAAGCGAAGAAAACAGCTATGCGTTTTTTAGATTTTTCTCGGGGGGGCAAAAAACTTGCCACAATAGCGAACCGTCAAAACAGTCACGGGATTCTGAATTAGGAAAAAAAATCCACAATAGCGACCAGCGATAATAAAGGAGGTCCAACATTACTGGCATTTGCTTCAGAAAATGTGTTTTAATAATATATAATATGTTTGTTGTTGGTTTTAACGGGGTTCTATCACTACTGGGTTTTTTCCCGGGGACTTCAAGCAAATGAAGGCCTAGGACTCCCTTTGTTTGCTGATTTTTCAGGGAAGGAGGGGTGTTTGCTGATTTTTTCAGGGATTGGCCTTGCACAGGTCGACGAGCTTTGGAAAAACTACACCTCTTCTGGTGTCGGCTCCAGCATGGACGTGAAGAACTTGCATCGCTCCTCGCGCCTTGGAGCAGACAAGCGGCGCTGGCCAAAAAAGAGAGAGGGAATGGCGCTGAAGGTGTTTCTTTGATTTCAAAACAGCAACCAAAAAGGGCTCCCAAAGAGAGGCGCAACCCTTTTGCAGAGGAATTTCAGAGAAGGAGGGGGGAGGGCCTTCATGGGCAAAAACCGACAACTTTTTGTGCGGCTGTGTGCTTTCTGTTTTGAGCTTTGGCCAGACCGTACTGTTCCAACGGCCTTGGCATGCCGGGCTCGGCAAGCTGATTCCCAATCTGAGTGAACACCCATATCCTACCTTCTAGTCCATGCGGGTGTATGCGCGTGGTTGAGACCTTGTGAAGCTCGAGCAGCTTGCTGCTGGCAACAGTGGCTCGGGATCCGGTTTTTCGCCCAAGACTGTCTACCAATCACCACACATGACTCACGCAATTGAGTAGAAACTGCTGAATCGGAATCAGAAGAAAACAATCTGGCCAAGCAGGCAGGTCGGTTGTTCCGGAGACATGCTTGGATTTTGCTGGCCTGAAAGAAGTTCAGAGATGATTTCTGAACAATCAAGGCGCAAGAGCTTGTAGCTCTTTGCATTCACTGCTGTTTTGAACCCTACTTCCAGGCCCGTAAATGTCTACCCAAGGCCGGGGAAACAGCTGATTCAGAAGTTACGATGCTAAGAATTGTGCATCACAATGACGATGGCTATCAAAGAGTGCAATTGGTTGATGGCTGAGAGTGGGGGCATTGTCACCACTTGGCTGAATTCCACGTATCCGGGCTGTTGGGTTTTCCAGTTTTCAGGTTGTGGGCTGGTCCTGGAGGCCCGCGTTGAGTTTAGAATTGTTGATCATATTGGATCCCGAAAACGTGTCTTAGTCACCGGCGGCGGTATTGATTAATCCTATAACGTTATGAGATTGGCCTCGTTTGCGCCTCATCTCATGATCTCAATGATGGACCAAAGCTGGATTTCCTGCTGTCCGTTTGGGAGTCGACTTCAGGCTGAGGCAGCTGGCGCGAGACTACATGGAACCTGCCGCCGGTCTTTCAATCGCTCGTAACGTAACTTCAATTGCACAACCAACGTGTCCTTGCCAATTCCTGGATGCGTCCTGTTCGCACTCGCCAAGGCAAACCGGAGTGTGTTTAAAGAGTTGCTCTCATGTTTGATTGACTACAGAGCAAGAAATGAGCCGGACAATTGGCAAGCGGTGTGAATGTTTGAATACTGTCACCACATTGCTACCAACACGTCTGCTGTTGCGGCTGTCAGCATGCCATTGTTGTCCGTAAACTCATAATCAGTGCTGTGTGTTCTTTCGAAGCTGCTTCAGACTTCCCAAAGCCATGTTGCCAAGGTGTTTAGCTAAAGCCAGCCACGTTGCAGGTTGCTATATGATGCATATGTTCTACCAGGTACAAAAGATACCCACCGCCTCATTTTTTTGGATGTTAATGAGAAGATGAACAATGTCTGTTCTTTGTCCGCAAGCGCTTGCTGAAAGCGAGTCGTAGCGAGTCGTTCCAAGTCCGTTTTAAGAAGCGCTTTAAAGTCAACGCCTAGCTGCTCAGCACGTCCTAACATGGATCCTCGAATCACGGGAAGGCCAGGGAGCCAGCATTTACACGCCCACACCCCCCAACACCCCCCACACCCCACACCCCCACACCCCCACACCCCCACACCCCGCACCCCCACGCCCCTGGCAAACCTCGTAGCAGCCACACACTTAGACTCCGAAGGGAGAGTACTTGTCATCGAGTCGCTGTGAGTTCGGCTGGGTAAGTTTCGAGCGGGTAAGTTTCGAGTGGCGAGACCGATGGCTTCCCTCTGGAGTCGAAAACGTTATCAACTCCAACATGAAGCACACACAGCAAAAGAAACCACGGGCCAGAAGGACTTTGCATGACTGCTGCAGGTATGCATTGAGGCGTCCCTCAACGCTTCTGGCCAAACTTCCATAGCTTCGTTGGCGTGGCTAGGAAGATGGCTGCCACGCTCCCTGCATGAAACACCCCCCGTTGGCGTCAGGGTAATTCTGACGCTCCGCACACACACACACACACGCCCCCGAATGGGCGAAGACCCCAACAGAAAACGAAACAGAGCAACCAAGAGAGAACAGAAAGGCACCACGTCGGGTCTCCGCGAGCAACACCCTAACAGAAACAAGAAAAACGAAGGCACCAGTTTAAGGGTCACCGAGGGCAAGAACCCTAAACAGCGCAAAGCGACCCAAACCTCGAAGAGGAAGACCACCGCGAAGCCACTGAGCCAGAAGAGGAGGACGCCATCCCGAAGAGGGCGAACGAAGACCACAAACAGGGGCAGGCAAAAGAAGGATTCCAAGAAATAGCGATGACGGCGAGAGAGCGAGAGAGAGAGAGAGAGAGAGAGAAAAAAAAAGAAGAAGAAGACCGAGAAGCCATCTCGCAAAGGGGCCAAGAGCACGCACACCAGGAGTCAACGGAAGAGGTAGAAGACGTCAAGCCAAACTGCGGAAAGGAAGAGGAGGAGCGCCCGCAAGATTACAGACAGGAAGAAAAGTCAAGGACAAAGGCGAAGAACTCGAGGATAAGGAGGCCATCCCTAAACGGGGGAACAGGAGGAGGACCAGCGCACGGTTGACGACACACACGGAAAAGCCAGCCCTAAACGGACGACGAGCAAGAAGTCGGAGCAAAGAAAGAGGACGAGGAAGAAGGAGGAGGAAGGGAAAGCCGGGAAAGAAGGAGGAGGGAAGGAACGAACAACGAGACAGGAGAGCCAGGGAAAGAGAGGGAAGGAATGAAGCACATGAAGAGAGATACGCCAATGCACTGCCGCTCTGGTACCTTTAGTGAAACCTCGTTCCTGGTTAAACGGCGTATTTCCGCTTTGCTAATGATCAGACCGCTGAGGAGTAATTTTCCGGCAGAGCTGGCCCCCTGGGCCACGCAATCGCCCGAGGGTCCGTCAAGATGGGGTGAACACACTTAGACTCCGAAGGGAAAGTGCTTGTCATCGAGTCGGAGTTCGGCTGGGTAAGTTTCGAGGGGTAAGTTTCGAGTGGCGAGACCGGTGGCTTCCCTCTAGAGTCGAAAACGTTATCAGCTCCAACATGAAGCACCCACAGCACAAGAAACCACGGGCCAAAAGGACTTTGCATGACTGCTGCATTTACGCTTTGAGGCGTCCCTCAACGCTTCCGGCCAAACTTTCATAGACTCGTTGGCGTGGCTAGGAAGATGGATGCCACGCTTTTTGTATGAAACGCACCCTCTTTGCGTCAGGGTAATTCTGACGCTTCGCACACACACGCGCACACTACATGCTTTTCACCACATTTCTTGTTTGTACTTGTACAATGACAATGCGTTCGCTCTGCCGACAATGTGTCACCTGAGGTGAAAGCGGCTGAGCCTAGGACTTTCCAGTTGCGCGGCAGCCGATATCAGCCATTTGGCACAACGGCAAGTGTGCATGACCAGAGCTCTCTACCTTCGGACTGGCAAGGCTGGTCTAGTCTATGTGTAAAAACAATGTTTTGTGCTGTTTTGGGTCATGGAGCATAACTAAGGAATTGTGGAACCAGTCTGTGAGTGCGTTGAGCGTCGTTCATGAAAACGCTCTGATGTTCTTTCATCATTCCCCCTAGCACAATAGCACATCAAACTTTGGAAGGGACTGGCACCGCACCCCATTGTACCCCAGTCTCATTATTTTCGGGGTCGCCGAGGGTCTGTCGGAGCGTGCTGAAATCAAAAGATATCCACTTCTGCACCCCCTCCGCCTACCCGGCGGCAACCACCCAGAGATCACAGAGCTGGTGCACAACGAAGGGGGTCAGCGAAAGACTAGAGCAGACTTTGTGTGTGATTTCAGCTTTAGATTGGAGACTTACACGTGTTTACGTTTGAGGGGCAAAGCGTGGCACTTCAGTAGCACCTAGAATCCAACGGCAAATCTGTGTGTGTTTGGAGGTTGTCCAATCTTGGAGAGAACGAGACTGACAATATGAGGGAGCAGTGTGCCTGACAACTATAGGCGTGAAATCAAGTGTGGGTTCCCTTGCATTCTGACAATGCCGCCAACTATGACTCTTAAACTGTCCTCATCGGTCATCCTTGAGACAGAGAAAGACAGGTAATGGCTGCAACCAGGCAGACGGGCAGACACACAGGCTGCAGACGGGCAGACAGATAGTCTGGCGGACAGAAAGACACTGGTGCAGACAGACAGACGGAAACAGACAGACGAACAGACAGACAGAGAGAGGGAGCAACAGAAGAACAGTTGGCAAGCAGGATGCCAGACAGAAGGATGGAGGGACAGAGGTTGTAGAGACAGCGCGATAGAGACATGATCATCTCAATATCAAGCAGTTCCCCCCTCTCAGCACTAAAGTGACCGCAGAAACCTGGTGTAGTGTAGTTCATTTGACCCCTACTATATCACTGAGGTGACACGGTGCCTCCTAGAGCCATGGCCAAAATGCAGCTAAGGGGTGTCTTGATCTTGCACCAATTGAGTAAGTCGCTTTTGACCCGTGGAACGAATTTCTGAACCACCCATCCCGATCGTCATTTCAGCGCCTTCATCGAAAGTTTGATCCAGTTTGGATTGCCGAACAACGCCTTTTGTTTGTGGCTCCCAGCCATCCGGTTCCTTAGCTTTTTAGATCCTTTGAGTGTTTAGTGGTAGTTTCCATTTAACCCACTAAAAATGAGTCACTTTTCGCGGATCAGAAAACGGGAGCTGCCGAGGAAGCAGCTGCAAGACCTCTTTAGGCCAGAGGGTTGCATGGCTCAGCGAAAGCTCAATGGCTGTGGGTCAAAAACAATGGAATCCCATTTTGGGGTAGGTGAATTCACCACCCATTTTAGAACCTATTTTAGTGGTTGGATTGGGATGTTCACCGGGGGTACGGGCTTTTGACCCATGGCCAATGGGTGCGGGGCCAAATGAAACCACCAGGAATCGGACCGCAGGCTTTAGTCCTGGGTTCCATTTACCAGGGGAGAGCCATTTTGGGAACCGTTTTTGACCCACAGCCAAACGAAGGGTGGATCATAGTGATGTGCGCGTATGTGTTTGGAACACAGCCTTGTGTGATAAGGTTGTAGGTATCCTTGTCATGATATGACTACTAGTTCCTTTGAGTACAACTTCTTAACTTGGCGTTGCCCTGAGCTGAACTCACTACAGTTGTGTGTTCGACAAGTCGAATGAGGCCACATAGTCTCCCATTGTATCTAGTGTTTGTGACCATCAGTTGTTTGGTAATTTGTGTGCATAAATCGCAAGGCCTACCGGTCGAACAATTTCCTCGCGGGCAACCAACATGCTTGGATTGGTTCATGTTGCTTTTTGTTTAAAATAGTTGTTGATTTGGTTGTTTTGACTTATTTATGTGACTGTGTTGATTGACTTGATTTATTTGATTGTTGATTGCCTGATTTGATGTTGTTTTACTTGTTTGATTGAATTCGATGGTTGGTTGTTTGCCTGCTTGCTTGCTTGCTTGCTTACTTGCTTGCTTGCTTGCTCCCTCCCTCCCTCGCTCGGTTGGTTGGTTGGTCATTGCTGGCAGTCGGTCGGTCGGTCGGTCGGTTGGTTGGCTGGTTGCTTCTTTCGATTGGTTGATTGCTGTAGCTATTGATTGATTGTTGGATCGATCGACTGACACCGGCTGGCTGGCGTTTTGTCGAGGAGACACATTGCAGGCAAGCAGCGATGCTTCGGAACAGCACACGAGGTGGCAATTTTGACACTGCCGCATGGGACTTTAGGGGGAAAGCTACTAGGTCCCCCAGTGGTGTCCGTTTACCCTTTTTTGGGGGAGGGTTCCCCTACTAAAATAGACTACAGAACAAATCGTGCCCTTTTTCTACCCTCTCTACTGGAGGACCTAGGCTAAGCCTTGAATTGACTGTGGTTCATCTTTAAAGCGGCACCTGGTTCCTCACGTGGAGATTGGAACGGGGCGTGATAGGCCCCGTAGGCCGCCCGGACGCAATGCCCATGTCTCCTTTCTGGGGTTCAGTCGTGCCTATTGTTGTTTCTTTCTCCGAGCCCCAGCGTGGCTTCTGTTACCAGTGGGAAAAAATAGTAAATGGGCTTCCTCCACTATTTGCGACTAGTTGGAATTTCGAAATATCCCACAACCCTATTTTATACCCCACAACCCCATCTGGGTTGCCTTCGGCCTCGCAGGCGCTGCCCGGGACGGCCGCTCGTGTACAAGGCCCAGAGATCTCTCGGAGCTCACTCCACTGACATTGGCCCCTCCTTGTTCTCCTTCTTCCTTGTCTCTCTTTTCCCTTCCCCGCTCTGTTCCCTCCCGTCTCCGTCTCTTTCTCTCTCTCTCTCTCTCTTTGTCTCTCTCTCTCTCTCTCTGTCTCTCTCTCTCTCTCTCTTTCTCCCTCTCTCTCTCTCTCTCTCTCCTCGTTCTCTCTATCTTTCTCTCTCTCTCTCTCTCTCTCTGTCTCTCTGTGTCTCTGTCTTTCCGTCTCTCTGTTTTTCTGTCTCTCTGTCGCTCTGTCTCTCTGTCTCTCTCTTTCTGTCTCTCTCTCTCTCTCTTTCTGTTTCTCTCTTTCTGTTCTTTCTTGATTTCCCCGTTATGTCCTTTTCATGTCCCCTCATTTCCTATGATTTCCTCGTCATGTCCCCTTCCTTTCCTTTCAATTCCGTCTTCATTTCCCTGTCATTTTCTTGGTATGTCCGCTTCATGTTCCATGTATGTCCCTTTCATTGCCAGTCATTTCCCTACATCTCCGTTCGTGTCCTTTGGTTTCCTTGTCCTTTGTTTCCCTTTCATTCCCCCTTCCCCCTGCTTTTTCTCATTTTTTCCTCTTCATTTCCCTTTCAGCTCTCCTTTGTTGCCATTTCATTTCCCCCTGCTTTCCTGCCATTTCCATTTCCTGTCCCCTGCATGATCTTGCATTTCCCTTTATTTCCCGTTCATGTCCCCTTCATGTCCCCTTCATTTTCCCTGCACTTCCCTTGCATTTCCCCTTCATTCCCCGCTCTTAAAAACACACACACACACACACGGTAGATTTCAGCGTTTTGTCAAACACACAATCTTTTTCCAGCATACGAATTCAGCCTGGGACTGCTACCCTAGAACGTCATCAAATTGCCGCGCGGTGCGTGGGGGACCCCCCGCTCTCCCGTATTGTGTCCGGAGGGGGGACTAGAGGGGGGGGGGGGGTTATCCTCTATCCTCTCTTAGATGTCCGACCCGCCGAGCAATCTTGGCGGATTTATCACAAAGGTGTTGTTGGTCGCAACGAATCCACCTGATGAATTGGCACTTTCCCTCTTCAGACCTCGTTTTGATTTTTGCCCTTTGATTCCTTATGGCACTTATGGCAGCAAAGTCTCACGTGTTGCACTGGTTCGCGGTTAACCTTGACGTCTAGCGAACAAGCAGAAACAAAGGACTGTTGATTTGCGTAGCTCACAGCAGGATCACGCGGCAAATCTGAAAAAGCACCAACACCAACCCATGTATTGGGAATAACGCTTTTTCCCTAGTTAGGAATAATATCAACCAGAACGCCTATCACGCGTGTCATATGACCTTGAATATGGGCTCGCTGCGAAGACGCTCAATGCGGATTGGTATAGCGACACTCTAAGTTCAGAGATGTTCATTGGAGGCCAGCAAGAGAAACTGTGGCTTGCGGTTCGAGTCATCTTGTGGCTGTGTGTTGCTTTTCGGGGCTTTGGCACGCTGGACTTGTTTATTTGGACTGTCGGACCCTTAGGTGGAAGAGCCGCGGCCAGATGGAGCATATCAAACCTTCATGGTGTAGGAGACATGAAAGGATAGGGTGGCTCACATAGATCATAGGGTGACTCCAGAATATATGAGTCGTTCACCGGATGCTGGATCAAATGTTGCTGTCAAAGGTGTCTATCACACCAGAGACGTGTCAGCTTGAGACATTTACAATTACAAATTGATGTTTGGGCTGTGAATATCTGGATGCTTTCATGCTGCCAAGCTTGAGGCTAATAGTGTATTTCCCGGACTCTAATTCGATTCAGGGTCAGGCTGGTATTGGTTGGGTCGCCGCCGGTTTTTTACAAAATGATATTCCTTCACACTAAGCATCAGGCCAAGTCAGTTGTAATTTGAGCTGTGCAGCAAGGCCAATGCGTTACAATTTTTAGGTATCACTACGTTTTTTTCATATCTACAGTATATATATATATATACATATTAATTGTTTGCACGACAATGTGAATACGGGTTCAGCCACGTAGTGAAGAAGTGAGTATCATGGTATCAGCTATCAAAATAACAGCTAAGTAGTAGCATACCCATTCCAGAAGGGTATGCAAACAGTGCAGTAGTTGCATATCTGTTCTTTCTCGCTCCCTGGCACTTTAGTCTCACTTGCTTTTGCACCACGCACATGTGCCAAATTGTCTCTAGTTCTACTGGCCAAACAAATCATGTTGTCCATTCCATTTTGTTTCAGCCGACATGGCGCTTTATGGTATTGCATTTTGTTGTGAAGATATTCCCTGACCTTGGCCCTGACCCTGTGAGCAGATGTTCGTTCCTTTGGCCCTAGAGCTGCAGGTGGCCAACCGAAGGATACCCGTCTATGTCTTCTGGAAGCGCGAGAGCTCCGGTTGGGTGCGGCCGCCCCTCTCTCCAGGCTCGCCTTCGGCCCGCCTTCGGCTCGCTTCGGGCTTCGGGGTTCTTGGCTTTCCCTGGCCCATTGACTTCCCGGTTCACATTTGGGGAAGTCTAATTAAGACCAAACCCACTACCCCTAAAACACTCCGGAAAAAAAACAAGTTCTTCAAACAAACTAGACCACGGTTGGCCCGAAAGCATAACATCGCAAGCGAGGTCGGCCCAACGCTGCAGGATGCGTTCTTTTTCCCCACACGAAGCATTCGTGAAGCAAGCGCGAGACAGCACCAGGCAAGGTGCTCTGCGCAAACTGGTCGGTGCAAGTTGGTCTGCGCAAGTTGCTCTACGCAAACTGGTCGGTGCAAGTTGGTCTGCGCAAGTTGCTCTGCGCAAGTTGCTCCGTGCAAGTTGGTCCCTGCAAGTGGCTCCCTGCAAGTTGCTCTGTGCAAATTGCTCCGTGCAAGTTGCTCTAGGCAAGGCGCTCTGCGCAAACTGGTCGGTGCAAGTTGGTCTGCGCAAGTTGCTCTGTGCAAGTTGCTCTGCGTAAGTTGCTCTGCACAAGTTGCTCTAGGCAAGGCGCTCTGCGCAAACTGGTCGGTGCAAGTTGGTCTGCGCAAGTTGCTCTGCGCAAGTTGCTCTATGCTAGTTGCATCTTGCGACGCCCGCGGACCAGGGAGGAATCGAACCCGCGACCCGCCGGTCCCGGGAGCAGGCGCGCGAGCCACGAGACAACTTTCGAGGACCAGTTCGAACAACAAAAGTCGCAAAACACCTCGAGTTTTTGCACCTCGACCACGCCGATTCCCGCAGAGGGTTGCGCGAGCACCGCAGAAATCGCAAGAAACCTCGAGTTGTTGCACCTCGACCACGCCGATCCCCGCAGAGGGTCGCGCGCAAAAAGCCTCGAGTTTTTGCACCTCGACCACGCCGATCCCCGCAGAGGGTCGCGCGAGCATGTTAAAAATCGCAAAAAACCTCGAGTCCACCACGCCGATCCCCGCAGAGGGTCGATTTTCGTGTAGTGTCGTCGGCACTACCCCGCCGCCCTGAGAAGAGATTTTAACTCCTCGCAAGTCAATTGCACTTGACTCCATGCACTTGCAACTTGCGCTTGACTCCATGCACTTGCAACTTGCACTTGACTCCTTGCACTTGCAACTTGCACTTGACTCCTTGCACTTGCAACTTGCACTTGACTCCATGCACTTGCAACTTGCACTTGACTCCATGCACTTGCTCCTTGCACTTGGCTCCTTGCACTTGCAACTTGCACTTAACTTGCCTTGACTTGCAACTTGCACTTGACTCCATGCACTTGGCTCCTTGCAACTTGCAATGGCTCTCATGACTCCTTGCAATGACTCCTTGCAATGACTCCTTGCAATGACTCCTTGCAATGACTCCTTGCAATGACTCCTTGCAATGACTCCTTGCAATGACTCCTTGCAATGACTCCTTGCAATGACTCCTTGCAATGACTCCTTGCAATGACTCCTTGCAATGGCTCCTTGCAATGACTCCTTGCAATGACTCCTTGCAATGACTCCTTGCAATGACTTTCATGATGATTCCTTGCCATGACACCTTGTAATGACTCTCATGAGAACAACTCAAGTGAACCCAGCGGAAGAACCCTTCGCCATGCTTTCGGGAAAAAGAGTTAATGAACGTCATCGCCCCCTTCAACATCAATAGGGGTGTTTTGCGACTAAGCCGGGAACTCAGATCCAATGTACCTCGTAAGGGCAATTGTTTCCAAGTACACTACACTTGGTTTTGGTAAACTACAATGGTGGTACCGTTGTCCTTGGTTTATTTCGACTGTTTCGGACCAGCCTATCTTGGGTCAACCTTTCATTGTCGAAACCGGATGAATGAGAAGGTGCATGCCTTTTGTTCCTCTCAGGGTTTGGTGTCATTCTCAGCCCAATAAAGCAAATCAATTACTCAAGCAATCCGTCCGTCCGTTGTCCGTCCATCCATCCATCCGGCCATCCATTGCATCCACCCATCCACCCACCCACCCCTCCACCCATCCATCCACCGTCCGTCCATCCATCAATCCATCAGTCCATCTATCCATCTACCCACCAATCCATCCATCAGTCAGTCAGTCAGTCAAGCAATCAATCAAGCGCGAACGACACATCAATTCTCGAATCAATCAAGCAATCCATCGATCAATCAGTCAGTCAGTCAGGCAGGCAGTCGACCAGTCAACCAGTCAACCAATCAACTCGTCAACCAGTCAAGCAATTGACCAATCCGCCAATCCACCAACCAGTCAACCAACCAACCAATCAATCAAGCAGACGACTAATCAGGCAATCAATCTGTTGTTCAGTCTGTGAGTCATTCATTCTTTCAGTGAGTGAGTGAGTAAGTGAGTGAGTAAGTGAGTCAGTCAGTCAGTCAGTCAGTCAGTCAGTCAGTCAGTCAGTCAGTCAGTCAGTCGGTGATCATCCATCTATTCATCCGCCCATCCGTCTCCATGAATCAATCAAGTAGGCAAGCACACAGGCAAGAAGGCAGTCAGTCGGTCAGTCAGTTGGTCAGTCAGTCGGTCAGTCAGTCAGCAGCAAGCAAGCAAGCAATCGGACAGGCAGGCAAGCAACCACGCACGCACGAAAGCTAGCAGTCAAACAATTAACCCATCTTCACGTTATCTGCCACTGAGACCTTTCTTTTGCAATTTACATCATTGAGGTTCCCAAGGTTGCACATCATGGATGTGAGCCAAGCTCCTGCTCTGTTGGGTGGCAGGGACAGGCTAGGTGTAGATTCTAGGTTAGACGGTCCCGCAGATTGCAAACCGTGTCGAGGTCGGCGATGGTCTAGTCAGCTAGTGGCAGCTTAATCTACCCACAACTTGCATCACCCATCTCCCAACCTCTACGTCAACATGCTGACCGTCTCAATTGAGTCACATGGGGTGGGCTTCCTGCTGATGTATACCTAGGCATTCTACAAAAGACGCAATGAAACATTGCATGTGCTCTGTAATATCCATTTCTCAATAGAGACTCGGGTCAAAACCAAAAAAGAGCTTAGACGCCATTTTTATTGTCAGACGTTGTGAGGGCCATGTCGTTGTCTTTGCCATTGCTTTGATGTGCAGGAGTGAGTAGGGCGAAGACCCCAGACAGACGTGGGCTGCGTCAATGCGTGCTTTGAAGGCTAGGGTAAAAATCGGCAAACAGGGCAGTGCGGCTGCTTGCCATAAAAGCTAGTGGTATCACGACATTCGCAAGGCAGGTCCTCTCCATCTCTCCATTGCCATCCATGTATGCTCGATGGCACGGATATTTGGAGGAACAGGACAAGGAAGAATTGCATACGGCAATGTCTCCCAGCCACAAACACAGTGTGTTGTGTGAACACTGTCAATCCCAGTGGGTTAACAATTGTGCGGGGGTATGGCTCTCAGGTGGTAAGCCAGCGAATCTAGGAGATTCCTAAGAGACCATACATAGTGACAGCTCTCATTTCCTGAATGAAACATTCAATCAGCATCAATGCTCAATGTTTATGACCGTTTCACAGTCAGACAGGGCCATTGCGCTTTGCAATTTTCCAGTTTGGTCGCAGACAAGCGGCTCGCTGGGCTGGAGGTACAGAGATCATGCTCGCTCCCTTTGACGAGGAATGGTACATGGAATCTTGGCTCCATGAGCGACCTTCGAATCCTTTTGTTTCCTTAACAGCATCCAAGTGCCTTTCAACAGCTATTGGTCGACGAGAAGGCGTGCTCGTCAAGGTATGCCACAACCCGACGGCTCGGGTTGAGGGGTGTAATCATTGCGAGTGATTTTGATTCACTCCCAATCAAATCAGGCAATTGCGCTGTTCATTGCTGGGCAAGGGGTAATCTGTCGAAGTCGCCAAATTTTGGGCGTACATGAAGCTCCTCTGCCATGTTTCCAAACATAGAATGTGCAAATCGCATTGGATATGGCTTCGGGTTGGATATTCCATCCTTGTGTTTCTTGTGTCATTGCCTTTTTGTCCGTGCCACATGTGCAAACAGAATATACACACGTGCTACATGTTTCTCGATGCGAAATCAAGGAGCAGCTTCGCAGCTTAGTAGACTCATTTAGATTGCAATGCATCGTATTCACATGCCTGAATATCAGTTCTTTGGGCACTGAGCGTCCGCATACTGTTCTTCAATTCTCAGGATCATCTAGCTTTTGCAGGTCTGCGAGTCCTAAACCTGACTTAACATTAGCTAGGATCTTTGTTTGTATAAACAAGAACGACATTATAAGCATCCTGAAACTCGCAAAGCCCTGATTTAAAGAGATGGCATCATGTGAGCACTAGCTCGAAAGCCGACTTGCTGGTGTGGCCCGTGTTCGGAATAGGTGGCACTTCATGATCTGTTGGATGTCAGTGGACCATGTTTGCATTGCCCTTATCCTGTCCTTCCTGTTTTGTGAACTGCTAGCTTCAGCCTGCCTGCGTGCCTGACTGTGTGCTTGCCTGATTGCCTGCCTGCGTCCTTGCTTGCTTGCTTGCTTGCCTGATTGCCTGATTGCCAGCTTGCTTTCCTGCCGCCTTCCTTGCTTGCTTGCTTGCTTGCTTGCTTGCTTGCTTGCTTGCTTGCTTGCTTGCTTGCTGGCTGGCTGGCTGGCTGGCTGGCTGGCTGGCTGGCTTTTTTTGCTTGCTTGCCAGCTTGCCAGCTTGCTTGCCAGCTTGCCAGCTTGCTTGCTTGCTTGCTTGCTTGCTTGCTTGCCAGCTTGCCAGCTTGCCAGCTTGCCAGCTTGCCAGCTTGCTAGCTAGCTTGCTTGCTTGCTTGCTTGCTTGCTTGCTTGCTTTTTTGCCTGATTGCCAGTCTGCATCCGTCCTTCCTCTTTTTGTTTTGCTTGTTTGCTTGCTTGCTTGCTTGCTTGCTTGCTTGCCTGATTGCCAGCTTGCCTGCCTGCCTGCATCCTTCCTTCCTTTTTTCTTTCCTTGCTTGCTTGCTTGCTTGCTTGCTTGCTTGCTTGCTTGCTTGCTTGCTTGCTTGCTTGCTTGCTTGCTTGCTTGCTTGCTTGCTTGCTTGCTTGCTTGCCTGTTTGGCAGTCTCATTTCTTTGCGCGTCCAGTTGGTGAAGCATAGTACCGCCGAGGGCGTCTGCCTTGTGAGCTTCACAGGTCTTTCAATTTCCCTGCACGATGTGCAGGTCATTTCACGCCATCCTTTCGTTCTGAGCAAGCCCTGTGTTGCATTGCATTAGGTGTTGGTGGATCCCATGAAATCAAATTTGATTTTGTCCAGCGGTTTGCTGCTTTGCGTCATATTGATCGATTAGATTCATGTCTGCTTTGTGAAGAGTGGATTTTCACATTTGAATTCAGAGTGGTCTCCGATGCAATATCACACCAAGGTTGTGGATGAAAGCCGGGGCGAGGATCACTATGTCCCTGCACGGCAGCTAGGATCCAGATTGAAGTGGGCAACACTCAGGGAAGTTTTTGTTGATCTGTTGGTGGGGGTGGTCGGGGAGGTTAGGTTGCGTACGTTGGGCAGACCTGGACCAACATGAGTTTCCTGCAAAGTGAACTTAGCTTCACGTAGGCCTTTTGGCACCCTAAAGCTCCCCGCAAGCCAAAGTGTACCTTGTGGGCCTAAATTTGTTTCATGTAAATTAGCCTCCCGAAGGCACAAGCTAGCTTCCCATAGGCTAAAATTGGTTTCCCGTAGTCTTGCTGGCACTGGTTCGCCGAACCCAGAAACCATCAACCCCGCCTCAACCTGGGACAAGAAACACCAGCCGCCTCGATGATGAGGTAGGATGCGAAGTAGTCGCGTTTTTTTTGCTGAAACCAGCGTCTTGCAAGGCATGAGCAGCAAACATCGGTAAATCGGCCGTCAACAACTGAGACTGCGGTGTCGAAATGTGCTTTTCCCTCAAGTAAGTGGACTTTGGTGAGCAAACTGGTGCAAAAGTCAATGGCCAAACTTGCAACCTCACTGAGCACTGAACTGTTGCTAAGTGTATCAGCCAAACCAGTAGTCTCTAAGCGAAGTTTAGTTTGTGCTTTTTGTTTAGCCTCTATGTGCCGGGCATCAGCTTTTAGAACGCCACGTGTTTCTATGATTGTGGTCGTTGTGGCTAAGGGTGACCGCTTGTAGCACTTGCAACAAGGCCCAGGGTTCAGGAGGGATGTGGGCGAAAGGCTTTGGATGTTTGCCACGGGGACACCAGGCAACCGTTGTTCTGTAAGCGAACGAATTCTTCTGAAAGGTTGCAGTTCAAGATTGAAGTCCTTGCTAAGCGAGTCCTCGTGGGGTTGGAAAGGTTCATTGATGTCCTTTTGAGCACCAGTTTCGTGTACTGTAGATGTCTCGCTTCCAACTATGCAAGCAACAAGTTCGAACTTTTACATGGCATGCCATCTAGGTATTCGATGATTGCCACAGTGATAGCATATGTGTTTGCACGTTGCAAGCAGCACGGATGCTGCATTGCCAAGATTCGGGGGGCATATTATCATTTTCCAATGATGTCACTCCAGTGTGAACCAGCATGTGATTGCATGGACTATGCCCTCTCTCTATGGCCACAGGATTCATGGCCTGCGCGACACAGGTACATGCAGAATGCCGGTCTGCAGCTGGAGGCGGATGCGGCTTGACTGCTCTTGAGCGAAGGACCCGTTTAGACACACTTCCCTGTAGCTGTGAAGGCATCTCGGCTCACGCCTTCTGAGTGAATCAATAATTTTTGCAATTGGACCGACAAGGCAAACAAGCCGTTGCGTGGTGGATCATGTCCTTGCCCACTGCAACACATCCCAATGCTGGCAGTTTACTTGTCCTGAATCATGCTCGTAATGCCCTACGCGGTATACAACTTATACGCTTGTCACATATCCTGAATATATTGCATTCCATAGACAGCATATACTTTGCATGCCGTTAACCCTGTTGTTTCAGAGGCATAGGATATTTGTTTGGATGCACATAGCTCAATGACCCGATGCATCAAGCTGTGCCTACAATGCAGGGTGTTTCCGCCGCCAATGAAACACGTACTAGATTGATGAGTTGTTTGTTGCGGAGTTGTGGGGTGCGCGGTACGGATTGTGGGTGTGCGTTGGGCGTTGTGCGTTGTGCGTGGTGGCTTGTGGGTCCGGGTTGCTGTTGTGGTTGTTCCCAACATTCTTGTGTGGGGTTCTTATTCTTAGCGCTGCGCCCGTCGCCTGGCACCTGCCCCGCCGCACCCGCCGCATCCGCCGCATCCGCCGCATCCGCCGCATCCGCCGCATCCGCCGCATCCGCCGCACCCTCACTCTCACACTCGCTCACCCACCCACTCACTGACTCACTCTTACTCACTTGCTCGCTTGCTCTCACTCGCTCTCACTCGCTCTCTCTCGCTCTCACTCACTTACTCACTCACTTACGTTTGCGTGGCATGGCAGCATTTGGTACGTAATGTTGACCTATGATTAATAAATAGGGGCCCCCCCCCCCTGAATGACCATAAATAAAGATTAGGGGAGAATCTTCAGGGTCGGGCCTTGTTTAAAGGAGTTTAGTATTGGGCTCAGTTTTTTTGGTTTTCGAATACTACTTTAGAATTGGGCCAATTCAAAAGTAGTATTGGGCATGTTGTTTTTTTCTTATTTTGCTTTGGGGGAATACTAGTTTAGAATTGGGCCAATTCTAAAGTAGTATTGAGCCAATAACTTTTGGTTATTCCAGGAAGAATCTGCTTAGCATTATTCATAGTCTGGTTATTTAAGTGCATTTTAAAAGAAAGGGATCCCATAAGTTTGTTGTGGATTTGGGATACATCTAGAATCAAGTGTGGGATGAGCCAAGTGGAATGGAAAGCTTGATCAGATCTATTTTTTTGATGGGGGAATGGTCTGGTTATTATTTAGTGCCTCAGGGTTCATGGGGGGTACTCTTGCTGCCAGGGTCAATGTGTTGATTTTGATGGTTTTTTAAAAGAATTTTGAAGAAAGGGATCCCATAAAGTTTGTGGATTTGGGATCTAGAATCAAGTGTGGGATGAGCCAAGTGGAATCGAAAGCTTGACCATGAATAAAGATAAGGGGATCAAATATTTTTTTGATGGGGGAATGGTCTGGTTATTATTTAGTGCCTCAGGGTTCATGGGGGGTACTCTTGCTGCCAGGGTCAATGTGTTGATTTTGATGGCTTTTTTAAAAGGAATTGTAAAAGAAAGGGATGCCTGGTATGATCCCTACATAAATTCACTATGAAACCATGCAAATTCCACGGGGGATGAGGGTTGGGAGCACTGACCTTGAATACAAATCTGCATTTTGCATGGATCCCAATGGGAATTCTAGGTTCTTTTGTGAGCTGGGGAACTCAGGCTTCATTCATTCATGTGGGGGGAAGGTTATTTTTTGAATTACTTTATATTATTTTATTTTTTCATATTTTTCCACTGGGAAAAAACGGTTAGCATTATTCATGGTATATTTATTATTTTTTTGCGGGAAATTGGTGAGCATTATTTATGGTCTATTTACTAATCGTAGGTCAACATTAGCTGTCTAGAGGGACTGGATGTCACGGACATTACACCCTGCGGGGTGGTTGTGCATGTTGGTTAGCCGACGCCTCACAGTTGCGCGGCACGCTCATGTTGCAGCTGTCCGCTGCCCAGCTGCTCAGCGCAGGTGCTTTAGCTGAGTCAGGCTAGATCGTCCTTTTCTTTCTTTCGGCAATGGCAACGCCGAGGGAGGTTTTTGACTTCCCTGTCCACCAGATTCCGCTTTGATGCCAAGATAGTGGAGAAAATCTTGGAGGCCGGCATCAACACGTTGTCGGACTTCCGCTACTTCTGCTCCACCGAGGCGGAGGTGGTGCAGACCTTCGTGACGCCGGTGGAGAAGGACCTTGCGAATCCTCGGCTTGAGGCGGCGAGGCTCAAGCATGCATGGGCAGCCATGGTCGCCCAGGAGGCCACTTCATCTACTTTGTCCATGGACCCTGTGGATGCGGATGAGCTCCTTCCTGCTGTGCAGTTGGCGGACATGAAGGCGGCCTTCCTCAAGCGCTACAAGGTCAGCTTCGTGCCGGAGCAGCAGCCCAGCGAGCGCTTGTTGTCCAAGCTCCGGAGGGCGCTCGCAAGGAGGAGCCTGGAGGTGACCAGCTTGTGGACCGTGAGGAGCATGTTCAACCAACGGATGGCAGTCGCCAAGAAGCGAAAGATCACATCCAACCTGTGGGTTCAGGAGGGGCCTGACGAGGACCAGTCCGGTTCCGACATCATCGACAAGACCTGTCAGGTCTGGCTGGACATGCTTTGGATCTACGCCCTGGCGCTCAGCATGGCGGGCACTACGCCGATCGAGCCGCAGCCTAGCGAGGCCGAGACGACGGTTGGCTCTGACCCAGCGCTCTATGTGCAGGTTCCCTGGGACGTGGTGCTCAAGTACCACTGGCGTGCCCGGTGCGCCAGGCCGTGA